GTGTACGTATGTATATGTGTATGTATGTGTACGTATGTATATGTGTATGTATGTGTACGTATGTATATGTGTATGTATGTGTACGTATGTATATGTGTATGTATGTGTACGTATGTATATGTGTATGTATGTGTACGTATGTATATGTGTATGTATGTGTACGTATGTATATGTGTATGTATGTGTACGTATGTATATGTGTATGTATGTGTACGTATGTATATGTGATGATGATGATGATGATGATGATGATGATGATGATGATGATGATGATGATGATGACGACGACGACGACGACGATGATGATGATGATAATAACAATAATAATGATAATAATAATGACAATGATATGATAATGATAACGATAATAATAACAATAATGATTATTATCATTACCTCTACATTATTATTGAATCTATTATTATTTTGCAATAACCTTAACAACAACAATAAGAATGATGCAAATAAAAATGATACCAATGTTTGAGAATAATAGCGATGCCAATAATACGACTACTTCTACTACTAATAGTAATAACAATAATTATAATTATAATAAAAATCATAATACTGATAAAAATCATAGTAGTAATAATGATAATGGGAATAACAAAAACAACTATACTAATAATAACAAATAGATATTATAATCATAATGACTAAAAGCGCATTGGCAGTAATGATAAAAGTAATTGTTATATGAAAATGATGAATTAGATATCACAGTGAAAATAATAAAATCGAAGCCGATGATAATGTCATTAGATGTAATATGATTCATAATGATAATAGCAATAATGATAATATCCCCCCCCCCTTCACCCTCCCTAACTCCCGAGCACTCCTCATACCCCCCCCCCCTCTTTCCTTCCTTCCCTCCCTCCTTCCTTCCTTCCTTCCTTCCTTCCCTCCTTCCCTCCCTCCTTTCCTCCCTCTTCATCCTATCCATCCATCTCTCTTTCCTCTCTGCCTCCCTCCTTCCCTTCCGTCCTCCCTCCCTCATTCCTCTCCTCCATATTCTCTCACTGTTCACTCCTTAATTAATCCCTCCTCTCTCTCCCTCTCCCCCTCTCTCTCCCTCCCTCCCTCCCTATCTATTTGTCTTCACCTCACTCCCCACTCCCTCCCTACCTCCCTCCCTCCCACTCCCCACTCTCTCCCTCCCTCTCCCTCTCCCTCTCCCCCTCCCTCCCTCCCTCCCTATCTATCTGTCTTCACCCCACTCCTTACTCCCTCCCTCCTTCCCTCTCTCCTTCCCTCCCTATCTATCTGTCTTCACCTCACTCCTTACTCCCTCCCTCCCTCTCCCCCTCCCTCCCTCTCCCCCTCCCTTCCTATCTATCTGTCTTCACCCCATTCCCTACTCCCTCCCTCTTAGTCTTCCCTTCCTCCCTCTCCGCCCTCCCTCCCTCTCCGCCCTCCCTCCCTCTCCCTGTCCCTCCCTCCCTCCCTCCCTCCCTCTCTGCCCTCCTCTCTCGCGTATGGCCTGAAGGTGCAATGCCTCCCGCTCCTCCAGTGTGACCACAAATACCCGCTTCCTTATATGGGCATGTGTGAGGAATCCGCGACCGGTGGGCATGAGGAGGCAAAATTTGTGAATCTTTTTACTTATTTTTGACGCTTTTTTTAGAGGGTGTTGGGGGTGGATAGTGAGGGTGTTGGTGAAAATGAGTGTGATGATGGTGATGGTGATAGTGATGGTGGTTTGTGATGATAGGCTTGTTATTGTTTTATTTTTTCGGTTTGTGACGAGTTTTTTATGATAATGGGATGGAGGTGATGGCTATTTTGATGGTGGTGAAAATGACAACGATGGCGGAGGTCGTGATGAAAATAAAAAGAAGACCAAGACAGGTATTTCAAGAAAGAAAAAAAAAAGAAAAAAAAGTGTTTACTACTGGAGAATGAATGATGGGAGAGGAAGTGAAAAGGGATTTTTAAGAGAGAAAAAAAGGAAAAATTGCAACAAAATTTGCAGTTCTTTTTCAGAGAGTGAAAGAGATATATCTGATCAAACCACATGACTTGATAGATTTACATAGAAATACCTGAATGCAACTTGAAAAAATATAAGAATAAACAATATATTCACGAAAATATACACCTTACTTCTTTTATTTAGAAATTAAGGTTTTCTCTGAATGCCTGACTGTCATGGTGACAAAATATGACAAAAAAAAAATAACAATAACAACAACAATAATAGTGTTAACAACCATAATAATAATTATAAAAAAAAATCAATTATAGAACCTGCATTAATGAAGACGATAAAAAAAAGCGATGAACAAACCCGCACAACAACAAAAACCGACCAAATAACAAAGAAAACAAACAAACAAAGTAAAAACCAGCGGTCATTACCCTTGGCACTCGCAGTTAAACCAGCCAGTGTTTACTTAACGACCGGACCCTGTGAACTGGTGTGGTTTTTTGGCCGGTGGTTTGACAGTCAGTCGTTTAATGGCATTTTTGTAGGTGGGAGGGAGGAGGGGAGGAGGGGAGGGAGGGAGGGAGAGGAGGGAAAGAATGTGGGAAGGAGGGAATGGAGAGATAGAAGGGAGGGAAGGAATGGAGGAGGGAGGGAAAGCGTTAGGAAAGGGAGGGAGGGAATGGAGGGGCGGAGAGGAGGGAAAGAATGCGGGAAGGAGGGAATGGAGAGGTGGAGAGGAGGGAAAGAATGTGGGGGGGGAGAGGGAAGGTGTTAGGAAAGGGAGGGAGGGGAGGGAGGGGTGGAGAGGAGGGAAAGAATTGGGGGGAGGAGGGAAAGGGTGGGGGAAGGAGGGAAGCCGTTAGGAAAGGGAGGGAGGGGAGGGAGGGGTGGAGAGGAGGGAAGAAATGGAGGAGGAGGGAGGGAAAGCGTTAGGAAAGGGAGGGAGGGGAGGGAGGGGTGGAGAGGAGGGAAAGAATTTGGGGGAGGAGGGAAAGGGTGGGGGAAGGAGGGAAAGCGTTAGGAAAGGGAGGGAGGGAATGGAGGGGTGGGAAGGAGGGAAAGAATGGGTGAAGGATGGAAAGGGTAGAGGAAGGAGGGAGGGATGGAGGAGAAAGGAAGATGGGAATGAGGGAATGGAGGAGAGACAGAGACAGAGACAGAGATAGAGACAGACAGACACAGACAGACAGACAGACAGACAGACAGACAGAGAAGAGAGATGAGAGAGAGAAAAAAAAAGACAAACAAACATACAGACAGAAACAAAAAGTCAAAGAATCACA